TTAGCACTTACTTCCCTTTGATAAATTAGGAAAACACAATTCCTTCCCTTTATAAAACATTGCATTAGTGGCAAAGAATTTACTTTTTATTAATTTGTTTTGGTGTTGGGAAAAAAATAATTACATAATTAGCGGGGATTGATCAAGTGCAAATGTTGAAGGTATTTTACGGATAAGCTTGGAGTATTATAATTGTTCATTTGGTTTGGTTTGGCAACTACGTTCGTTTAAGTGAGTGCAAAAGACTATGAATAAGTTGGGGTACTATAGTCGTTTATTAAGCTGAAACAGGCGATTCTGCCCCGGGCTAGACTGTGAGCACTTTGCGTTTATGTTCGCGTTAGTGTTTTCATTGTGTTTAGGTTGGGTTTGCGTTAGTGGTTGCGTTTTGATTTGGTTCGTTTTTGTTCTTTCTTTTTTCGTTTTCGTTTGTGTTTTTTTTTCTTTGGGTTTGTGTTTGTATTTGGTTTGTTTTCGTTTGCTTTTTCGTTTGTTTTTTTCTTTGTGTTCGTATTGGTGTTTGTGGTTGTGGTTGGGTTTGTTGTTAGGTTTTTGTTTTCGTTTGCTTTTTGTTTGTGTTAGCGTTATGTTTGCGTTTTGTTGTTTTGGTTTTGGTTGGTTGTGGTTTGGGTGGGCAATGTCGGGTTTATGATGATTACTAAACACACAGGTAATGGTCTTTACCAGAAAGGTTTTTCACAGAAGCCAGAGAAGGGCCTGGCCGGGACGGCTCAATTCTGTATGTAAAAATAAATTTGTTTGTCGTGGATACTTCAATGGATTTAAGTGTTAGATTATTATCGTGCTCATAGTCTACATTTATGAGTTAAAAAATTACTATTGAAAGTCTTTAAAAACAATTTTCATTTTATGTACTTAGAATAATAATTTTCAATTATGAACATTACATAAATTTTTTTAAAGTGTATCAACGTTTAAAAAAATTCTAAAATTGTTTCTGAAATGTATTGACTGCACAGTTACTTCCCTTTAAAAAAATTATTAAATCGGGGAAAGAAAGAATTTACTTTTTATTACTTTGTTTTGGTGTTACGAAAAAAAAATTTCATAATTAGCGGGGGATTGATTAAGTGCAATGTCGTTGGTATTTTTAATACTGCCTTTTATTTATTCTATACACTGAACATACTGTTCAATAATTATTTTTTTAAATCAATAACATTTAATAAGCCAGGTCTTACAAATCCTATATGTTTATTTCTTTCCATTTGCGGATAAGCTTGGAGTATTATCATTTTTTTCACTAAATTGAAATAGGCGCGTCCGCCGGCGCCCCTGCACGGTTCGATTTGGCACCCTGGGCTATCATGTGAGCGCTATGCTGCATAATTTTGTTTTAAACAGTGCGATAGACTATGGATAAGAAAGGTTACTATAGTCTTTAAGTGAATCAAATCCGGGCGTCCTCCGGCACCCCGACAGGGTGCTATTTTGGCGCCCCGGGCCTTCCCGTGTACGCTATGGTACCTACATTCGCGTGAGTTCAAAAGACTATGAATAAGTTATGTACTATAGTCGTTTACTAGGTTGAATCAGGCGGTTACGTCATGGTGCGTCCTCTGGCGCCCAGACAGGGTGCTATTTGGGGCCCCGGGCCTCCCGTGTTCGGTTTGGCGCCTACGTTCGTTAAAGTGAGTGCAAAAGACTATGAATAAGTTGGGGTACTATAGTCGTTTATTAAGCTAAAACAGGCGATTCCTCCCCGGGCTAGACTGTGAGCACTTTGCGTTTATGTTCGCGTTAGTGTTTTCTTTGTGTTTTGGTTGGGTTTGCGTTAGTGGTTGCGTTTTGATTTGGTTCGTTTTTGTTCTTTCTTTTTTCGTTTTCGTTTGTGTTTTTTCTTTGGGTTTGTGTTTGTGGTTGGTTTTGCGTTTGGATTTGGTTTGTTTTCGTTTGCTTTTTCGTTTGTTTTTTTCATTGGGTTTGTGTTTGTGGTTGGTTTTGCGTTTGGATTTGGTTTTCGTTTGCTTTTTCGTTTGTTTTTTTCTTTGTGTTCGTATTGGTGTTTGTGGTTGTTGTTAGGTTTTTGTTTTCGTTTGTTTTTTCGTTTTTTTTTTTTTTGTGTGTTGGTATTGGTGTTTGTGGTTGTGGTTAGGTTTTTGTTTTCGTTTGTATTTGTAATTGTGTTAGCGTTTTGTTGTTTTGGTTTTGGTTGGTTCTGGTTTGGGTGGGCAATGCCGGGTTTATGATGATTACTAAACACACAGGTAATGGTCTTTAACAGAAAGGTTTTTCACAGAAGCCAGAGCAGGGCCTGGCCGGGACGGCTAGTTTAAATATAATGCTCTGTCAGCGATATTTTGCGTGCTTTGAATTTCTTTTTAAATTACCTCCCGTGGCAAAATTATACAACATATCTAAATTAATTTGTGTTTATCGACCCTACTATTATTAAAATGCATAAATTTTTATAGGCATATACGCGAAAATAGTATTTGACATTGATCCGTATGATTTAGTAATGTGTGTGTATTTAATATTTTATTCACGTTCTTTTGTTGACTTAGCGCTTTTATGTCATGGTGTCACCCCTACCCCTTGTAATAATTGTCGATTTGTACTTAAAAGACTATCTTTAATTAATCATCAATGGAACTGGCAAAACAAAACATTTTTCTTCTGTGCATCTTGTAATTTTTTTGCCTTGGTGTCACCCCCTTATATGGTGTCACATGGTGCGGTCCGCACCCCCGGGCCTAGCGTACACCACTTAGGTAGGCCTACGTGATCCAATGTATACACAAAAAACGTGAAAATCGTGCATCAGTCCTTGGAAAATTGATAAGGCGTAGTTATCTCCCTGTATTCTACAACAACGCCGAGTATTTAAATAAAGGATAAGCGATGGCGGGTCGGCCCATTGAACGGACACGTAGCGCTTGTTTACATCTGTCCGCTGATGATGACCTAGTTTAACAGCTGTTCACAGATCTACTCAATCTATCAACTCAAGCAACAGACTTCAAAAACTTTTTTCATAAAACAGTCACACATTTTAACATCATTGAAGCATATTCAACATACCGGCTGAGCGCTTAATAATATTACAAATTTAAAACATACCAATCAGATGACGAAGGCCATGCCTCTGAATAACATCTGATGACGAATATACTGCTCAATGAAAATATGGTTTCACTTTGACCAACTCCAGCTTGTACAATTTGGACAAGAAATTGTTGCTTACCATTTGTGAGACGTCAGCTAGCCGAGCACACAGCGCGTCAAACTAGTTTGTGACACATTACTACACCGCCTCTCCCTTCCACAAATTTGTCGTCCGCTATTTATGTGTGTACTTCCGTTGGGCTGGATCGATGTGTGAAATTTTCCAAGGGAAGCTACTCCAGATTTTTTAATGTTTCAATATTTTCACGGTTGTTTCTCCTTGACCGGAGTTCATGGGACAAATAAATATGAACACGCTAGGAGAAATTTGGAGGGTTGCACCCTCTGAACACGGACAACTTTCAATTAAAAACAAAAACAATCAATCATTGCATCAGAAATATTGGTTTATTATTGACGTAATTAGCATATAATCATCATATTTCAACAAGGAAGTAAATGGGTACAACTAAACTGGACAGGACAAGTATGAGCAATCACGTGACTACCACTCCCAACACATGTACAACAAAACACCAATATAAAATTATCTGATTAATACCAACTGACGGGCCTAGGTTATAAATATCTGGCACTAAATATAGCTCACTCTCTGACTGAATGTACAAATGTTCAACAGGTAGGGTGTGGGTACACTTGACTTTACTGCCAGCAGTGGATATTGTCTACTGCCCCCTACATGTAGTAGACACTACTGCTCCCTACACGTAGTGGACACTACTGCCCCCTACATGTAGTAGACACTACTGCCGAATACATGTAGGACACTACTGCCCCCTACATCTAGTAGACACTACTGCTCACTACATGTAGTAGACACTACTGCCCCCTACACGTAGTGGACACTACTGCCCCCTACATGTAGTAGACACTACTGCCCCCTACATGTAGTGGACACTACTGCCCCCTACATGTAGTAGACACTACTGCCCCCTACATGTAGTGGACACTACTGCCCACTACATGTAGTGGACACTACTGCCCCCTACATGTAGTGGACACTACTGCCCCCTACATGTAGTGGACACTACTGCCCCCTACATGTAGTGGACACCACCGCCCCCTACATGTAGTAGACACTACTGCCCCCTACATGTAGTGGACGCTGTCTACTGCCCCCTACATGTAGTGGACACTACTGCCCCCTACATGTAGAGGACACTACTGCCCCCTACATGTAGTGGACACTACTGCCCCCTACATGTAGTGGACACTTCTCCCCCCTACATGTAGTGGACACCACCGCCCCCTACATGTAGTAGACACTACTGCCCCCTACATGTAGTGGACGCTGTCTACTGCCCCCTACATGTAGTAGACACTACTGCCCCCTACATGTAGTGGACGCTGTCTACTGCCCCCTACATGTAGTGGACACTGTCTACTGCCCCCTACATGTAGTGGACACTACTGCCCCCTACATGTAGTAGACACTACTGCTCACTACATGTAGTAGACACAATACTGCCCGCTACATTTAGTAGACTCTTAGAAATCCAGTGGTAGAGCGCCACACAACAGCAAGAACTCAATGTTAAAACTCAAAACGTTAAATTGATCAAGTTAAATGGAGACTAGGGTCTGGCACAATGTTACAAGCTAAGGCCTTCTTCAGCATCTTCACCCCAGGTTCTGGCAACCCAGCACAGGATGTCAACCATGGTTGTCACATTGTGCCAACCCCCGCCAGTGACAGCACCATGTGACGGCACATCAGCATACGAGGACAGAGAAACAATCATATATGGATATTTAAGTCAAACACAAAAAAAAATCTAAGATCATAACTACTGGAAAAACACACAAACCCCCGCTAGGCCATACAAGATGAGGAACATCCAATTTCAATGTAGACATGAGAAACACCATCAATATATTACAAGAGTAATGTACAGCCATGGTCTTCAGACACACACCTGGCCAATCTCACAAGCCAACAGTTTCCCAGACACACAAGAGTCTTATGTACATACACACCACAGCCAATCACCAGGCCGACTAGGTTAAAAAAAAAAACAATCACATAACCCACATGCCCCTAGGTCCTGCCAACATTATCACAGTCTCATTAGGACAGCCTCTAGCCCAGCTTTCAGCCTCTCACACCCCACACACACCCTCACATCACACCCTCACACCACACAGGTGCCCAACATCGCCAGGAAGAAATTCATAAATAACTTGAGACCACTCACAGGATGCACACACTTTTTTTTCCCAATAAGCTGATATGTTATAAAGTTTGCTGGAGCAAGCCAATCATTTCTAATACTGCCCTCATCAGTACTGGCTGCTACTAGACTGGAGGATGGGGCTGGCTCTCAACCAATAGCAACCAATACAAACTAACCAGGAAAATAAGGAAATCTAGCAGACACGCACCATTCAAACTAACTTAAAAACCAATGCTTTGATAAAATCCAAAACAAATTAGACCAAAATCTCTATGTATATATAAGTATCTTACAAGTCCTCTCAGCACATGCTCCAAGACTCGGCCAAGCAGGAGCTTTTTGATGGGCCAGTGAGGGCAGGATCAAATGCCCAGGAGAGGGGACGGGGGGAGTCGCGCACAGACAACCTACTTCAGATTTTTTGTATCTTCTCTCCCTTGATTACAGGGTTATTCTTGCGGATCTCCTCCTGTCCTTTCTCTTTAAAGTCAAATGTACAATCATGAGTGTCTGAGTAGCGATGTAAACTACAGAACAGCTTGCCACAGTGGCAGACAAAACCTGAAACAAAATGTACAATCATGAGTGTCTGAGTAGCGATGTAAACTACAGAACAGCCACAGTGGCACAAAAGTTATAGCAATTTGGTTCAAGATTATTTTCTCAATAATAAATTACATTCGCCTCACTTTTGATGCAGCTAAATGCTACTTATGTTCAGTTACTCTTTTTTGTAGTTAATTAATGTGCTGGATTTAGAAAAAATCTGAATAAAAAGTTCCATTACAAATTTTTGACAATGTCAGTTATGAACTGGCAAAAATGGTTGCTATTTAATAAGGAAAGGCAAAGTTAATAAGAATTTTTTTTTAAATATGAGAGGACTAATGAATATAGTGATGTGCAGCAATGTTATTCCCCCCCCCCCCACTAAAATAACTTTTTTCTACATCAAAACTACATAATTTACTTTCTTGACTAACTAAATAAATAATTATTGTGTAGGACTAGCAATCAAGATAAATTTATATTATGTTTGGTTAAGCAGTACAAGTCCTAAAAGGTTGGGCACCTATTAAAAAAGTGAGAAATGTGCAGCCACGCAGGGGTGTAAAGGTCAAGGGTAACTTCTAAATAGCACAGGAAAGGTTTCCAGCAATGCTGTACCATGCACTCTATCAAGTTTACCACTGGCCAATAAAACTCAACTGTAACTTAACTAACTATTGCCCACAATCCAAGCACTGACCTGTGAGGCCAACCTTCTTCCTGCACTCCATACAGCGGTTCTTTTTTGGTTTTTTACCTTTATCACCTTCACTAACACTATCACCTGTAACACATCATTCAAATATTAACATCACCTGTAACACATCATTCAAATATTAACATCACCTGTAACACATCATTCAAATATTAACATCATTCAAATATTAACATCACCTGTAACACATCATTCAAATATTAACATCACTTGTAACACAGCATTCAAATATTAACATCACATGTAACACATCATTCAAATATTAACATCACATGTAACACATCATTCAAATATTAACATCACCTGTAACACATCATTCAAATATTAACATCACATGTAACACATCATTCAAATATTAACATCACATGTAACACATCATTCAAATATTAACATCACATGTAACACATCATTCAAATATTAACATCACATGTAACACATCATTCAAATATTAACATCATTCAAATGTTAACATCACATGCAACACATCATTCAAATATTAACATCACATGTAACACATCATTCAAATATTAACATCACCTGTAACACATCATTCAAATATTAACATCACATGTAACACATCATTCAAATATTAACATCACATGTAACACATCATTCAAATATTAACATCACATGTAACACATCATTCAAATATTAACATCACATGTAACACATCATTCAAATATTAACATCACATGTAACACATTATTCAAATATTAACATACATGTAACACATCATTCAAATATTAACATCACATGTAAAACATTCAAATATTAACAACACCTGTAACACATCATTCAAATATTAACATCATCTGTTACACATCATTCAAATATTAACATCAAATAAAACCCATCATTCAAATATTAACATCAAATATAACACATCACCAAAACATTAACATCGAATTTGTGTTAACGAAAAATTTAATAAAATCATCTCCTTCACAAGCACTATCATGGTAACAACAAGTCACAAAAAAGTTTATAGATCCATTACTGTTAACGGCACTAAACTAAATAGATCAGAACACTGAGATCAGTATTACACTACAGACAAACATCAGGAAAACTATTGCTAAGTTTAAATTATCAATAAGCAAGTGGAATGTTGGAATTTACACATTGTCTGTTTGAGGTAATAAATGGACTTGTGTGAATACTGTCTACTTAGTAGACCTATAGCATATGTCATAGAATCCTAATATATTAAAGCCCATGTGCGCACTTCTCTGTCTGCAATATCAGCATGTTCAGCGATATATGGAGAACTTAAAGATACTGACTTTTGTTGAAAATAATAAGGTGGACTGTATAAATGTCTAAAAAAATTTAGTTTAAAGAAGGAAAATAAGAATAAAAGGCATATTCAAATGTAGAAACAGATTTTTAACTAAAGCATTTATTGTCATGACAAGAACGCATTAAACAATGAAATCACACAACACATGTTTAAACATTGATGACCCATAACGCCCGCTGCCGCCCGCAACCCATGATGGCCCGTAACACCCGCTTACAATACGCATACAAAAATAAAATTTGTTTCTTTAAACTTTGGCCTACAAATCCAAACTTTTAACTAAACAGGAAGTTGGATAGTTTCAGCATCCTTTTCCAGTCATCTAATTTAAATGGTGATTTTGAAAGATACAAAATATTAGTTTCTTTCTATCCCGAAATATTAGACTCATCTATTTTTAGTCCTATTTTTTTTGTCCTATTTTTAGTCGATTTAATATTAAAAATAAAATAAAATCAAGCATATAAACGTATCTAGGCATGTATTTTATGAATTATATATCTTAAACATAACCAAATTGATATTTAACTGTTAAATTCGATGCATAGTTGTTTAGACAAAAATAAAGTTGACTACCAAAAATGACTTGTTTTGTATTTTCTCTGACATTTTTTATTTTTATACTATCCTTGTACCAAATATAATATACGAGCCGACCCACAGCGTATCATACACCGCTATTTAGTTGTTTTATTTTCTACTTTTCAGTAATTTTTAATTTGTGAATTCGACAGTACCAATGCTGCCACTGAAAATATTTGCTTTAAAACACTACCCCCCCTTTCCCCTAACCCTGACCCGACACCCCCCCCTCTTAGTTATTTCTTAGTTACCTCCTGTAACTTTAAAATCGAACTAAATTATCTGCCCCTAATAGAAACCCGGCTCTACAATTTGTAAACATTTAGTGTGACCACAGCTCACCAGACAATGTGGGGGTGGTAGTGATAGTGATAGAGAGAAAGAGAAAGAGAGGGGACTGCAAGGAGGCGCTTGCAGCTTGTTTTCTAACGGCTCCCAGAAGAGAATTATATATAAAGATTTAATACTGTTGGAAAGCCAGGTTTATTCCCAACATTAACCCATATTCTGCTAGCGTCCCACTTATGGGACGCTTGTAAAAAAAATTGCTAAAATTTATTAAAAACTGGTTAAAACACAAATTATGTTTCATTGTATTTGAAAATGGCTAGACTATTGAATTTGTTTGTGTTTTGTGAAAAAAAAATATTTAGAAAAATGTTATAGTGCCGGATTTGTAGGACTTGTCAAAATGGCGGAAAAAAGAAAACATGCGCACAGGAAAATGCATATCTTCTAAAATATTAACATTTTAAGTGCAAAATACATTTGAAACTTGTAGCAGTACCATATTTTTATCTGATAAAAATTTAAGAATAACAATTTTTTTTTTACTACTTCGTTATATCAAGTGTACAACAAGCGTCCCATAAGTGGGACGCTAGCAACGAATGGCCCCATGTAGATTGTTACACAAACGTCACATTTATTGGACACTAGCGAGAAACACAGATGCCAATGTTTAAGTTAAATGGTTATTTATGGTAAAACAATTGTTGACTTTGTTAACTGCTGACTTTGGGGTGTTAAGTAGTATTTATAGATATTTAATTATGACCTTGACCTATATTTATGCAGATTTTTACACAAACGTCACATTTATTGGACACTAGCGAGAAACACAGATGTAAATATTTATGTTAAATGGTTATTTATGTTGAAACAATTGTTGACTTTGTTAACTGTTGACTTTGGGGTGTTAAGTAGTATTTATAGATATTTAATTATGACCTTGAGCTATTTTTTCTTATATATTATTGTATTAAAAAATTGCAAATATTGAAAAACTAACATTTTATTTTTAAGTTTTCAGAATTACACTTACTGAAGTATTTAATACCATTGAATACAAACTAATTTAGTATTGCTGTAAATTTACTAGCTCGTGATATTAAAATTATAACAAGCCACAATAATAACAATGGTCAAGATTTAGGTGAAATGATTCATTCATGGGGGTTGGTTAACTCTTCATATAAGGGAGCTCAAGCTACATATAGCAGAAATGTGAACTAGCTGTGTACAGTTGTCATGCCCCAATAATATTTCCCTCCAAAGGTTCCCGATACCAGTTTTACTTTGTTAACTTTTTAAGGAGATTCCTGGTGTTAGATTGTGAGCTGTTCGCATAGTGAGGTGCATACATGGATGAGAGCCATGAACACTCAATACAAGCCCCCAGAGACGGATCCGTGCCCTAGAAATAAGATGTCTGATATCCTAATGTACGCCTGTGAGGGGGGGGGGGGGGGGGGGAATAGCGAGGGTAACAAAAGAGAAAATGGCTGGATGACATCTGGGACTGGACCGGATCATCTTTTGCAAATTCACTGAGGGCAGAGTTTCTTTCTGGCATCATTTCGGAGGAGGGGGGGGGGGGGGGGGGCTCTGCCCACAGAACACAATGGAATTTATATAGAAAACATACTTTTACCAATGTCCACCCTTTTCCCTGAAATTTAAGTCCCCACCCCTGAAAATTTCAAGTACGCCACCCAAAAAATCAATTATTTATATTTAATTATATTACAGTTTCGATGAATAATAACAATATTTGTGATCATGTGTGTATAATTAGATGTACTAGTCACAGCTTTACTTATTTCCAAGTGTTGTTCACATTGATGGATGCTAGATTGAAAGAAAACTAGACTTTTGAACATAATTTCTGCATTTTAGACCATGGTATGGCTAACCCAATTGATCATTATCAGTATTTTTAGCTGTGCTAAACAATGTACTCATTGGTCTAACAATACAAAATCAGTATACAGGTTAATTTTCGCGTGATTAGCCATATTTCGTGAAAAAGAATTTTATTTTTCAATAAATGTACATGGGGCCGTTCGTTGCTAGTGTCCCATTTATGGGACGTTTTTTAAAACATCGATATTTAAAAAAGTATTGATTTTAAAAAAAAATCCATAGTCATTCCTTCATTCAGTGCCCAAAAGCTAAACCATATCAAAAAATTATAAAAATTTGAGACCTTGGGATAATATGGGTTAAGCAGTAGTTTTTACCTTAATTTTCAAATTCATTTAGACAAAAACAAATATTTTGTAAAACTGTTCACTTGATCATACCACCGTCAAGGTGGTGTTTTGGTAGAATGAATGGGTCATTAATGTTTAAACTAAGTATAAGGATAGAACACAAAACTTATGGTGTCATCATCTAAGTTTAGAATATCAAGAAATGAATTATTTCATTCAAATTTTATTTAGATCTACTTAGAAATTAGACGTACGCAATGAAATGTTATGTATACAATACCATTTTCTAGCCTAAACTTATAAAATTTACTTTATCTATTTGGATTCTCGATCAAGAGCTACGGAAAAACTGGACTTAATAAGCCAGTCTTGAGAATTCTAGATCTAGATCTATGGGAAAACTAGACTTAGATTCTAGATCTAGAATCTATTCCAATATGAGTCTATATTTATATACTGTTTCAGGCCTGAATTATTTTATATAAATCTTTGTTTATCTATGGAATTGGCGAATCTGGGATAAAATTTAATTTGAAATTATAGGGCCTATTTGCATAAGTTAAGTTTCTTAAGTACCCCACATATAAGTGCCTAAATAGCAGAGATGACAGTGTAATTGATACCATGCGGGTGGTATGGGTTCGAGACACACCTGGTCAATCTTTAATTTTTTTTTTTTTCTTAGGTGTTAATGGTAAAGTTGCCTATCAGGACTTGGCGGGACACAGGGCAGGTGAAGTAGAGTTCACCTGTTTCTGTCTTCACAGCATATGAAGCAATAGTGTGCTCAGACCCATGCTCAGCCGAAATAGATGTTTTTAAAAGACAAAAACTACATAATTACCATTGAATAGTCGGGTTTTTAACATCATTTAAATCTCTTAAGTCTCTTAATCAGCGTGTGCATTTAGTATGGTGTTGTATTTAATCAGCGTGTGCATTTAGTATGGTGTTGTATTGACTAATAACGTATATAATTTGGTTTTAATTTTCTAATAGGTATTGGTAGTGTCTGTTATTTTAAATGTGTCGGATTTTCAGCTATTTAGTTATTTCTTTGCCACTAATATCGTTCAACATACCGTTTGGACAAATAACTTTTTTAAAAACATTTTCTCAAACATTAAAATATATAAGCCTATAATTCATGTATAACTGGTACCGTTTCTTAAAATCAACAATTGTTTCTATCAGCTTCTGGAATCTTAAGGCTGCATAAACCCTCCCCCTAGCAGCACACAAGACTCAGATATTTGAAGTGTACATGAGAGAACCCACCTTCTGTAGGTGTGAGTTCATCATCCTTAGAATCACTAGATGAGGCTTTAGTGGTGGACACAGTAGGACTAGCTGTCTGAATCACTGAGCCTCCAGCTGCTCCCAATTTCTCAGCTAATTTCTCAGAGAATTTATCACTGTTTGAATTGCTAGAAGTGTTCATTTCTACACCGCAATATGGAAATTGTTAAAATAGAACTGCATTAGTACGACAAAAATTCCTTTAATCTGTCAATTTATCAAACAGCAAAAATTTTCTTCTCAATGAAATCGTAATAAGCTGTCAATTAAACAACCAGTAAGAAATTAAACAACCAGTAAGAAATTAAACAACCAGTAAGAAATTACCTCCCAAAGAAGTTTTGCTTAGAGCAGTGGCTACCGCGTCAACATCGTTCTCGTCACCAGCACCAAGAACGGAAGATCTGCTGCCAGAGGGCGTGGCTGCTGGTGACTGGACAGCTGTTACGGGCGACTCATTCTGCTCAAGCTGCTTCAGGTCCTTGAAACACTTTGAACACATCCCATCAAACGCCTGGGCTGCATAGAACCCACAGCCATTGCGACAGAAGATGGGACTGGCCATGTTCTGGTTGCCATTTTGTTCCATCGACATGGTGATGAGTAGAATCTGTCACCTAAAATAGAAAAGTATTATTATACACATTTTTTTTTTAATAATGGAAGTTAATAAGCCAGCGAGTAAAGAATCTTTTAACTGTACTAGTAAAACTAGTTTTCATCAACTGATTGTTAAGTACCTTATCAATTAATTTCAAACTGCTTCAACAGTTTCAACAAGATACAACTATTATAATACGTAAAATGTTTGAATAACTACATTAGAATTGAAAAAAATTCATAAAAAACGTTTTAATAACAAGCTTTTATGTAATGATGCACTAAAAAGTAGAAAATAAATTATAGACTACTATTTAAATAACTATAAAGAAAAGCGTGGGTCACTTTAGTATCTATTGGATACCTTTACTAATGTTAAGGAAGACACCCACGCTTTTCTTTATAGTTATTTAAATAGTAGTCTATAATTTATTTTCTACTTTTTAGTGCATCATTACATAAAAGCTTGTTATTAAAACGTTTTTTATGAATTTTTTTTTCAGTACTTTACATGTTTTATTTACAATAGAGTTACATGACTAAAAACCATTGCGCGCCTACTGAACATCACGTTCAGTAGGTGCGCAATGGTTTTTGAACGCAGCCATTACGTGGTCGTGATGGCGCAGCTATTGATGACGCGTGTGGTGTGGTTGGCTAGACATGCCTACTAATTCGGTCCAAATTTTAATTAATTCATAAAAAATCAATTAGGCATCCAATTAAGTCAAATTTAGTTTCAGATTGCATTGTCTTCATGTCTTGACCCACGTGCCAACTGTGAATCGTGTCGGTCAAGTAGAACTGTCCGAATTTTCACTCCTGCGTTTCTATCTAGACAGACTGTCGACAGACTGACGACAGAGGAAGTGAGTTAAATAAAAGCTTGTAAAAAGAAAAAGGTATTTTTCATATTAGTGGTCAATATAATTCCACAAGTGTGTATTTGTTAAAACTTCTACTTAATATGCTTAGGAGCCTATATGGCCTACTGCTAGCAGTAATGTAGATAGTTGAGCAAGGCACAATATTTTAACAGCTATTAATGATTAGCCTAACCAAAATAGATGTCTTAAAAGAACAATTTTATGCTCACTCGCTCACAATTAAGTCAGGTACAGTTACTAATCTGCATAAAGCTGACCACACTAATCCTTAATGTTGAAGTTACAGAAACAGGTGAACTACTGGCCTACTTCATTTGCCCCATGGACTTTTCCATTCAAAAGAGAACTTGGCTTTTAGGCCTAAAGTAAACTACACATGCCAAACAGGTTAAAGTTAAAAAAAAAATTTGTAGGAATTTGACTATGGCCTAGCTGCCTTACTTTTAGGTAGGCCTGTTTAAAAATGAAGCGTCTCAGCTAAATGTTCATTTAATAAAAACAAATGAGGCCTCTGCTTTTGCTAAAGATATTATTGTTGATGAATGTTTTTAAAGCTAGACTTAAAAAAGTGTTGTTTAGTGTAGGCCAGGTGAGTCCTTTATCTTTGTTCTTGTTGCTGATTTTGAGTTGAATTCAACTTGAACTTTACTTACCAAAATTATATTTGCAGTGCCACTAAAGGCCCAGATAGTGTAATAATTTGTAAGATTTCTGAATCAATCCGTTCCCTTTTCGATACCAACCAGCAATAAAAAATATGTGTTGGGACTTCAACTTGTACTACGCATCCGAAGACAGTAGAGTAGAGAGCGATAACGTATGTCCCAAGGTGTGGTTGGCAGGAAGGAAACAAAGACGTCAGAAAATCGACCTGAAAAATTGACATTTAAATTAGAGAATATAAATCTAGACCTTAGATATTCAACTGTGTGAATATATATTCGTAAATCGTATTTAACTAATGAGCAAGAGGGCACAGACGGATAAAATTACATGTAAAAGTCAATTTGATTCTCTGATCTCCTTTTCATTCGCCTTCCTAGACGAAAACAAAATGGCTGTCGCGAAGAAGTCGGATATTTCCGGTTCTCGAGGGGTTACTCGGCCGTTTATCTAAATGTTCTTCGTATTTTAACCATTTTCATAAAAGCCACACAAATAATAAGAATTGGTCTAAGAATAAGAATAAGCATCAATAATCAAAATTAATGTCTGCTTACGAAGTTTTCTATTCAAAGTCACTGAGAGATGAATTGCGATTATCTATGTCACGTGATAATGACAATAGTTTTCATTGGACTAAATATATGTTAGTAGTGAAGACTTACTTCCCTTAGACCTGACGTCAGAAAATAAATACAAGCAGTGTTCTCTTATACAAAAATAGCTAGGCCAAGTTATTTTTAGTTACGGGAGATCCCTTTACAACACGTCGCTTTGTCCTTTGTGTTGGTCACAACACAAACTGCACTACCAGTTCAAGATATTACTCATAGCTACGTCACACCTAAATATAGAGTGAGGCTAGGTAGCCAATATGAAATACGCTTATGTATCTAGACTTAAGCTGTTTGTACGACTCCAAAGTTTATGTTTTGTTACTCTGTGTACCTATCTAATTTTCTATAATGAATGTGTATCTATGTTAACCAACAATGATTTTTTTTTAAACACACAGCAAGGTTAAGGTCTCCGTTCGTAGTGCACTGCAAGGAGAAGAAAACAAATACGTTTTTATGATCAACCTATTGGGGGTCAAGGTTAGGGGTTGGGTGCTAAAGTGAGTGTGGGGGTCAGACTGTATAGAAGAAAACTGTTGCATAAATCTTGTGACATCCTAACCTTGGTTTTCATGTAAAGGCCTATAATCCGTCCAATTCTCTTTTCCCGTCCACTTTTGGTTTGTTTTGTTGTTTTTTAAATTAAATTTCAATTTAAAAGAAAACGAAAAATTTAAATTCGGAAAAATAAAACACACCATACACGATACGATCGGAAATTTCCAAAACTATTTTTAAAGTTAAGTAAATAAGACGAACAAAACACTGCGTAGTTCTATTTTTAGATTTCCCCTCCAATCAGCTGTTGTCACATCCTCAAAATGTCCGAAATAAGAGGAGGTAAAATGTAAGCTTTCGCTGAGCAAGTCAAATAAAATTCAGTTCTCTCCCTTTGATGTTTCTTCTAATTGATGACCAAACAAAAGCACAGATTTAAAAAATAAACGTTTATTAATTAACAGGCTTTTATATAATTATACACTAACTAGATGAAAATAATAATGCATCACTATTTGAACAACTTAAAGAAAAGCATTTTTTTGAATAATTAAAATGTTTGTAATATAATAAAAGTTAATTACTAGAAACAATTGCGCTAAAGATGAACACGAACACTGTGCTTATATAAGCGCGGTTAAGAGTTCATTATATAGGAAACAAATCAATTCGTTAAAAATTAATTAAGCATCCAATTAAGTCAAAATTGAACTCAGATTACATTGACAGACAGACAGACAGACAGACAGACAGACAGACAGACAGACAGACAGACAGACAGACAGACAGACAGACAGACAGACAGACAGACAGACAGACAGACAGACAGACAGACAGACAGACAGACAGACAGACAGACAGACAAACAGACAGACAGACAGAAAGACAGACAGACAGACAGACAGACAGAGGAAGGAAGATAAAACTTGTAGAAACTACACGTTAAACTAAACTCTTCCATTTATCTCTTTCATACGCCCACCAAGAAAACAAAATGGCTGCCGGGATGACGTTTTAAAATGTTACGGAAAACATTAGCATCGGCTTTACTGTGAAGGCAAGGAGTGTGTGTGTGTGTGTGTCTTGGAGGGGGGGGGGGTACCATTGTTAGGTTATTTACAGTTCTTTATTGGATAGATTATACAATAATATTAATTACATTAAGCGGCGCCGATCATCAAAGACTAATTAACTGACCTTACTGGTGAGATACTTGGACACACGTAATTTTTTTAGTAACGACACAGTGTAACGATGTAATTCGTGCAACCAAATGTAATGGTGTAATTCGTGCAACCAAATGTAATGGTGTAATTCATGCAACCAAATGTAATGGTGTAATTCATGCAACCAAATGTAATGGTGTAATTCATGCAACCAAATGTAATGGTGTAATTCATGCAACCAAATGTAATGGTGTAATTCATGCAACCAAATGTAATGGTGTAATTCATGCAACCAAATGTAATGGTGTAATTCATGCAACCAAATGTAATGGTGTAATTCATGCAACCAAATGTAATGGTGTAATTCATGCAACCAAATGTAATGGTATAATTCGTGCAACCAAATGTAATGGTGTAATTCGTGCAACCAAATGTAATGGTGTAATTCATGCAACCAAATGTAATGGTGTAATTCATGCAACCAAATGTAATGGTGTAATTCATGCAACCAAATGTAATGGTGTAATTCGTGCAACCAAATGTAACGGTGTAATTCAAGCAACCAAATGTAATGGTGTAATTCATGTAACCAAATGTAACGGTGTAATTCATGCAACCAAATGTAATGGTGTAATTCGTGCAACCAAATGCAACGATGTAATTCATGCAACCAAATGTAATGGTGTAATTCGTGCAACCAAATGCAACGATGTAATTCATGCAACCAAATGTAACGGTGTAATTCATGCAACCAAATGTAACGGTGTAATTCATGCAACCAAATGTAACGGTGTAATTCATGCAACCAAATGTAACGGTGTAATTCATGCAACCAAATGTAACGGTGTAATTCATGCAACCAAATGTAACGGTGTAATTCATGCAACCAAATGTAATGGTGTAATTCGTGTGACGCGTCATCACGTGATTCATTAAGTTACCCCCCCCCCACCCCCTCCTGTTTCACAATTCCCTGAGTTACCTTTTGACGGCACCTTGTGCTACCATTGTGGGGATATGAAAGTGAGGGGGGGGGGGGGACTCAAATGATTTAGGGTGGTCGATAATTAGAGAAACCTAATAATCAATCAGAATTGGGCACTAAGTGATTTCTTTGATTTGGGTCCAGTAGGCGCTGAAGCACTCACACAGTAGGTTGCACAGTGCTGTGGTGCTGTCTTGTGGTGCTAAGTGCTGTCTTGTGGTGCTAAGTGCTGTCTTGTCGTGCTAGGTGCTGTCTTGTGGTGCTGAGTGCTGTCTTGTGGTGCTAAGTGCTGCCATTGCTGTCCATTGCTGCCGAGTGCTATCCAGTGCTGGACTTCGTCTTGTTTTAAAATTAGGTAAATTCTTCCAGATAATCTTATTTGATTTGTGTATGTGTTTTAGTGTTAAGATGAAGTGTGTAACATCTAGGCTTTTGATCGTGTTCCATCTACAGACTAAAGGTAGGTTATTGTTAAAGTTAGGTCAAGGTTAGGTCAAGGTTAGGTCAAGGTTAGGTCTAAGGATTTCTAACAGGTTACAAGAATGTTTAACAATGACAAAATGGGGGGGGGGGGTCAATAAACTGTTAGTGTGACACACACGACACACCAACAACACACGACACACCAACAACACACGACACACCAACAACACACGACACACCAACAACACCCGACACACCAACAACACACGACACACCAACAACACACGACACACGTCAGTGAGATGTCATTTCATCTGTTTCTCCAAGGTCCCCGTGGTCTCCGAGGTCCCAGTCTCTACTAGTGCTGTGTTTAAACAGTTTTCAGTTGCACATTTCTAACTTCAGCAAAAGCTATGGGAATAATACCCCCCCCCACACACACACTATGGGAATAATACCCCCCCACACACACTATGGGAATAATACCCCCCACACACACACTATGGGGATAATACCCCCCCACACACACACTATGGGAATAATACCGACCCCACACACACTATGGGAATAATACCCCCCCACACACACTATGGGAATAATACCCCCCACACACACACTATGGGGATAATACCCCCCCACACACACACACTATGGGGATAATACCGACCCCACACACACACAGTCTTTTAACGACCACGAGCCACATCCTGATATGTTACGTCACTGACTGCAGCCTTTATTTCATGTCTGATATCAGGTGGAGTAGTCAGGTACCATCAGAGCTGGGTGGACTAGAGTCAGGTACCCATCAGAGCTGGGTGGACTAGTCAGGTACCCATCAGAGCTGGGTGGACTAGAGTCAGGCACCATCAGAGCTGGGTGGACTAGAGTCAGGTACCCATCAGAGCTGGGTGGACTAGTCAGGTACCATCAGAGCTGGGTGGACTAGTCAGGTACCATCAGAGCTGGGTGGAGTAGTCAGGCACCATCAGAGCTGGGTGGACTAGAGTCAGGTACCCATCAGAGCTGGGTGGACTAGAGTCAGGTACCCATCAGAGCTGGGTGGACTAGAGTCAGGTACCCATCAGAGTTATTTTTATTTAGACTTAACATTTAGCTGACGAGAATCATGCCCCTACCCCCCCCCCCCACCCTGTACAAGTGGTAAAGTAAAAAACGCCGATTAACTGTTTATTGATTGATTGATCGGTTGATCGATATTATCGATCATAAAGTGGAGACTCATGTCGGGGGAGGGAGGAGTCGAGCCGGAAGTTGTAGGATGGAGGGAGGGAGGGAGGGAGGGAGAGAGGGAGGGAGGCAGGGAGGGAGAGAGAGAGGGAGGAAGGGAGGGAGGGAGAAAAGATAGTTTCTCCTGTTCTCTGTGAACTCCATCCTCCATTGTGCTACCCCCCCCCCTCCCCCCTCCACAATACCATTCCTCCATTGTGCTACCCCCCCCCCTCCCCCCTCCACAATACCATTCCTCCACTCCTAAAAGAATGACACTGTGTTACATAGAGACATGTTGCGTGCTGAGCTGCCGATCAGTGGCGAGCTGTGGTCTGTTGACCCACTACACGTCATGACATTAGAAAGTCACGTGGTTTAAAACTTACATGTACAGCTTGCCGAAAGGAAACCCGAGTTGGTATTCTAAGGGGCTCCACTCCTGTTTGAGTTCCGAGTTTTCTCCCCCTAGATGGATCTCAGTCCCCAGCCGACGAGCCCCATCTGCCCTGAGGTGCTATGTGTAGACGTCGCTACTGGTGTATGTGGGCACTCTGCCCTGAGGTGTTTAGACGTCGCTACTGGTGTATGGAAGTGTGGGCACTCTGCC